GCAGATTACTCCAAAGACGCTCTCTCGTGGTTCTGAGGGTCATCTGGGCTCAGCTGGGCAGGTCTTGCTCAGAATTTCTCTGCACATGTCTGACGATTGATGCTGCTTATCAGCTAGACCTGAGCTGGAATTGCCAGCCGGAACACCTACCTGTGACAGTTCCACGTGGCCCAGCTTCCGTGTCACCTGGTGCTGGGTTCCAGGAGGGAGCATCTCAAGAGAACCAGTTGGGAGCTTCAGCTTCTCTTACACGACTTCTGCAATAGCCACAGAGCAAGGCCACTGTCCCGTGGTAGGGATGTGGGATGGGAGCTAGTTAGTGGCCGTCTTCACAAAACACCATCTGCCACGGAGGGGGGTGGGGTGTGTGTGGATATGGAACATGCATGCGACAGACATCCCTGCAAAGCCTTGCTGTTCCAGGCAGGCATGGCATTTGACTCCAGGCCAAATCCCAAGCCTAGATTCGTGGCCTGGGGGTTGAATCTCAGCCACTCCAGGTGCTGCATCACTGAGATCACTCCATTCTCTGGGCCTCCGTTTGCTTGTCTGTAAAATGAGGATTGACTTCCTGGGATGGTCATGAGAACTCGCTCAGTGAAACAGGATTCGGCGAGACTGTAAGGTGGCTAGCACGGTGCCAAGCCTGTGTAGACACGGGGGATAGTGTGTTGTTGCTATTTTAAGTCCCAGGGTGCAGGCATGTCCCCGTCTAGAACTGGCATGGCCAGAACTCCCTGCCTTTCCAGCCAGCCCCAGACAGCTCCCTGAGCTCTGCCCTGCGTGGTAGTATACACAGTGTGCGCATCTGTGGGGGTGGGGACCGACCATTCCTCTAGGTCACTGATGCTTCTGGCCCAGTGTTCCTAACTCAGGGGACCCCAATTAGCCTTTGTTCCCTGGAGAAAGCTCCCCTCTTGTTCTCTCCTTCCTGGGGCAAAGGTTTCTTTCTGGGTAGCCAGGGTGTGGTTAGGGAGGGATGAGCCACCAGGTGTGGCTTCCAGGGGCCAAGGGGCAGGGCTCCAGTGTGGGGAGACACACACAGTGGGATGGGGCTCTTCACCAGGGTGGCTGGGAGGTGGCAGGAAGACCAGCTGTCCCCAGAGCTTTCTGAACTCAGCCCTGAAAGAATCTTTACCAAACCAGTCACTGACTGCTCTTTCCGGAAAGCTCTGGTGTCTGGCTGTGTCCAGAGGGTGTGTTTTGCTCTGGTTAGGGTCATGTTCCTTGAGCCTGGCCTTGACCGTGCAGGGTGGGGCTCAGGGCAGAAGCAGGGCCCAGGAAGAGTGCACATGTACAATCTCTTCAAGGAACATACAGACCTGCAGGATGGTTAAATCCCCAGCCCAGGACCATCCCAAGATCCTCCTCTCCTCTTCTGAGCCCCACAAAATACTCACTGCATGATGCCCTTTCTGCGTCTCACGTTTCTCATTTGAAAAACAGGAGAGATTATAGCTGAGATCATCAGGGGTAGATGAGCTCACAGATGGAGACATGCCGTAGAAATAACCAGGTAGGACTGGAGACAGAGGCTCCAGAACTCCCTTAAGGGAGTAGAGAAATGAACCATGGGTCATCTCTGCAGCTGGAGAAAGTAGGTCCTGACCTCGTTTTGCTCATCCCCTTACAGAACAGATGAGGACACTGGGGTGGCACCTGTGGGTGTCAGAGCCTCACAGAGACCCAGGTTCCATTCCTGGTCCTACCAGTTACCAGCTTTATGCCTTCAGGAAAGCTAAGGGAAAACCTCCAGGTCTCTCTGTCGTCCTCTGGGGAGGGAGGGAGACAAGATCCTCAGGACAAATAAGGGCTAGAGCGCAGAGGCTTGCCCAGCCCCTCTCAGAGGCAGCCAGAACAGGGGGTTACCTCAGTGGCAGTCACTGGGGGAGCTTTCTCAATACCTTTTGGAAAATGGGCATTTTGCAGAGCTCCCCGGGTGGTTTGAAAGTGCATTCAGGGTTGCGATCCACCCATCAATCTATAGTCTTGTTCAGCTCAGGTCTAGCAGCACGGCTATCACGTGGGAGTTTTGTAGAAGTGCAGAGCCCAGGCCCCTCCCAGACCCACTGAAATAGAATCTCTGTGTTAACAGGATCGCCAGGTGGCTCCATCCACAGTTGAGTGTCTGCAACATTTTGGAGATTACGGCCCCAGATAGTGGATTTCAGACAGATGTGTGTTTTTTTTTTCTAATTATCTATTTATTTAATTCCATTTGTTGTTATTATTTTTTAAATTTGACCAGAGAGAGAGACAGAGAGAGAAAGGGAAAGTGAGAAAGCAAGCTACCAGATCTGGGACTTGAACTGTGGTCAGCCATGTAGGAATCCAGCACCTTTAACCACCATGCCACTTGCTGGCCCCAGAGAGATGTATGTTTTAGGGAAGGACAGAGAAGGCAGTTTGGAAGGCCCTGAGGCCTGTAAGGATGGGAAAGGGGAGACTGTGACTCCCATCGGAAAGAAGGACATTCCATCTGTAAAATGGCATGATGGAGCCAAGTGACAAAGCAGCAAAACGAGCGAACCCCAGCTTTGAAGACAGACGCTGTGCGGAGCCAGCCCGATCACGTGTAGTAAGAAGGCGCGCGCAGAACTGGGGATCACACCGCCTCCTGACTCTGAGCCTTACTCTTCTTTGAATTTGTTTTCTTGGGCATATATTTAAACGGAGCCTACTTGGTTTAAATACATACACAGGAAGGGAGGCAGGGGACAGCGAGACTGGGGAGGAAGGGGGTGTGAAGACTGGACCCATCAGCTTCAAATAGGAAAATAGTCTGGGTCTCTCAGCAGGTAGGCAGCAGGAAAGGGAATTCCTCGATAAAATGAACAAGGCAGTTTCACACCAACTTGACGTGGGCTCAGTGATTCTGTGGTGGCTTTCGGGACAGCTGCTGGAAGTTTCTTGGAGTTTAGAACTTGGGCAGAGAGGAAGGGGAAAAAGCAAAAATGGATATGCAGCAAATGGACATACATTCTGTACTCCGGGACCCCCAGCCCTGTGCCCACCCTACCTGGCCCAGCACTTCGGATGGGAATGCTGTTTCTTCCTCACCTTGACTTCCCTGGACAAGGCATCTCCAGGCTTCGAGGGCCTCGTGCTCCAGTCTTGGGCAAGGTTAGGAGGCAATGGGACTGGGAGTGAAGGGACACACCGAAGGCCCCAGGTCCATTTGCATCGTGTCCCAGGAAGGAGAGACAGAATTTGGGGCCCATGGTTTCCAGGTAAACCTCTTAATCCTCTCCCTGCTGACTTCCCCTCCTGGCCAGGCTGATGGCGCCCTTCATTGCCAGGTGTGCCCTGACCCTGGCCCGATAAGGGTGTCCCTGTACGAGGTGTGGGTGCTTGGCACTCGGCCGGAGGACTTTCTCCTCATGCTTGGCGGGGACCCGGGGACGTGGAGGGCAGCAACGGTCAGGGCCAAGCCATTTGGGTGAGGCAGCAGCAGGCTGGGATATCCCACGCTGCTAGGCCAGGTAGGAGCAGCCCTTGGCATCACCTTCTAACTTCCCTCGGCGTCCAGGGGTGAAGCAAGTTATCCCAGGAATCGCTAGTGGGCCGGCCTGCCCTCTAGTGGCACTCCCATGTAACTGCACCCTCCTGGCTCCACTTTCCACAGCACTAAGAGAGGCTCCTGAGGCCAAGATGGGCTTGCTCTACAAGGGTCCAGTTCTGTCTTTTTAGATATCTCTCTACCTCGTATGGTATCCAACCTCAGAAAAGGAAGGCAACTTGCATGTAACCAGTACTTATTATTTGTTCCAGGGACTTGACGCACCTTGCTTCGCTGACCTCTGCAACAGCCCTGGAGCATGCAGGGGGCTGCCAAAGGCTCCGTGCCTGTCGCGAAGACAAGTCCCAGGGGTCAGGTCACATTCCCTTCCATGCCTGTCTGACTTCAAGCCATGCTCTGAAGGTACCTCCCACCCGTGGAAACTGCGGGCCAGGGGTCTGTAGGCTTCCAGGGGCCAGGGGTTGGGGTTAGGAAGAGGGGTGTCAGTGCAGCAAACGGAGGCATGTGGGCATCTGAGGGCACAGCCATGCGGCTCCAGCAGATTACTCTTGCAATGCTAGACTCAAACTTAAGAGAAACCACATCTGGGTTTGTACTTAAAAGCTCCCAGCATTCATTCACTTAGTTCACTTTTTTAAAAGAGGTTTTTGCCTTAGGGCAGAGATGCTCACTGGAGAGAAAGACAGAGACAGTGAGAGGAAAAGCAAAAAAAAAAAAAAAAAAATCACTCTCCCCTGGGTGGGATAGCCATGCCACAATCCCTTTTCCTCTCAGGATCTTGGGCACGCACACACCCACCCACATAGTGTGATTTTCAAGCCACTGGGTTCAGGACTCGAACCATGGTCAGCCATGTGGGAGTCCAGCAACGTAACTGCTATGCCATCTGCTGGCCCCCATTCATTTATTTTTATGACAAGGTCTCGCCATGTCACTGTTCTGCTCAGCCTCCCAGCCGGAACTACAGGGACATACCACCACATCCGGCGTTTTTAGGCAGGGTCTGGCTATGTCACCCAGGCCAGCCTCCAGCCCAAGCCCTCCTGCCTCAGCTTCCCCATGTGACCGGGATTACACCACTGAACCTGGCCTTTAGATGGACCAGGGACTCGAACCTAGAACTCTCGTGTGTCCCAGCCTGTGGCGTACAGTGTTTGAGCAACACATGCCGCTGTAGCTCAGTCCTAATTTCAAATATTGACAATTAAGTTAGAAAAGAGTTTAAGCAGGATGTAAATGAGACAAAACCTGCTTCTAACATTCTGAGCTTCTGTAACACCCTCGTGTTGCAGGCGAAGCCTGGAGAGAGATAATAACTTACCCACGATCACATGACCCACTAGAGACAGGACTAGAACTCGAACCTTTGTCTTCTGACTCCCAGGCCAGTGCTCCTCTCAGCACTGCGCCCTGCTTACCAGTCCCCAGGGAGGGGCGGATTCCAACTCAGTGGCACAGTGGGAACCATCAGGCTAGAGGCTGGGGGGTTATCCATATTTATTGATCAAACTCAGGTTAGAGTGTGGCAGGGCCCCCCTGGGCCCCTCCTGGAGGGAACCAGAACACTGTCACAATTGGCACCCGGGGGACTCACCGGATCCCGCGGAGGTAATACCTGGACCCAGTGGCCTGGCTGACTATCTTGGCAGTGCCCCCACTACACCCTTAGACCTGGCTTTGTCCTTGCATGGGGCAGACTGGGCCTGCCCACTCCTAAGGGTTGCTGGACCTGAACCTGGGCCCAGAGTTCCCGGGAAGCTAGCATTTAAAGGGGAGGGAGTTTCCAGTTTACAAGTGGGGAAAATGAGGCTTGAGGCAGGAGGGGACTTTCTGGCTGAATGCCTACCCAAAATCCTGGCCCTTGGGCCTCTGGGCTAGTCAGTGCTTTGATTTTTCCTCTTCCCGGGTCAGGAAAAAAGACTTCCCTGGTTCAGCTGCTCTGAAAATGCAACATATAAATACATAGGTACAGTTTACAAAGTAATAAATTAGAGCTTGGGCCAACCTGAGGTTGTCCGGTTAGCCACATTCCATGTACAACATGGACGTTTGTCATGTGTCACACATGGACCGATCATGTGTCCTGCCAGTGTGGTGGTACGGCTCATGCCATGGATCACAAGTTCCATGTATGCCACATGTCCAGAGGTCAGGTTGCCATGTCTGATCTTCCATGTCGCCTTACATCATGACACCCTTATTGTGCCATGTCTTCAACTGGTCACACTTGTCACACATGATGCAGGGACTCTTGGCCACACCGGGCTTGTAGTTCCCTAAAATGTCCTCCTTGAGGACAGTAGCAGGACAATTGTGCCCCTTCCTTCCAGGCAGGGGGCAGGATTCTCCACGCAGCTCTTTTCCTGTGCCCTCTATCCTGGTGGGTGAAGCTGGCATCACTTGGCTGGATTCATTCCAAGGGTCTTGAGGCAGCCATCAAGTACCCTGAGGGTCCTGGGGCGGGGTGTCGAAGAAGGCGAAGTCCAGCCTGGGCTCCTGCCTTTGCAGACACTGGGCCATGTCGGAGGGGATGGAGTTGTTCCAGAGGCTGTGGGGAGATGGGCATGCAGATGGGAGCTGCTCACTCATCTTGTCTCTACCCCGTGCCCTGTCTACACACTGGAATCTCTACCCCGTGCCCTGTCCACACACTGGAATCTCTACCCCGTGCCCTGTCTACACACAGGAATCTCTACCCCGTGCCCTGTCCACACACTGAGGCCCTAGTGAGGAAGACCGTGCTGAGAGTTCCCAGCAGAGGCAGGTCTTAGACCCGCATGGCTGCCTTAGGGAGATGGTACCCCCAAACCCGCTTCCTGACTTCTTCCTGGGAACTAGTGATCCCAGCCAGGGATGCTCCCGGGCCTCATTAGTGCAAAAAAGGAAAAGGCTCCCCTTCTTCGGGACACTTTACTTCCACCTGTCTGAAATTGTCATAATATATTGATTTTGATAAAAATAAGACATTATGGGGCCAGCAGATGGCATAATGGTTACGTCACTGGACTTCCACATGGCCGACTGTGGTTCAAGTCCCAGACATGGTGGCTTAAAACTCAACGCTGGGTGTGTGTGCGTGCGTGTCCAAGATCCCAGGAGGAGAATGGAGAAGGGATCGTGGGTGGCCATCTCCCCTTGGGGGTGGTTTCTCATTCTCCCTTTCAATGTCTTTGTCTTTCTCTCTCTCTCTCCCCCAGTGGACACATATGCCCTTAGGCAAAAACCTCTTAAAAAACAAACACACAAAAAACAAACAAACGAACAAAACCCAAGATATTTGCTAGAAAGCAGTTGCGTCTAGAATGTGCACGGTGTCCCTTAGGTGTCCCTGTGCCGTGCACAACCTATACACCTGTATGTGGCTTCGATTTAAGTGATTGCTGTGTGCCAGACATCGGCTGTGCTCTGTCTGCTCAGTGACTCCTCACAGCTCTCTGGGGAAGAGACGATCGTTGTCCCACCTTACAGATGAAGACATGGATGCTCAGAGAAGTTGAGCTACTGAGTGCACAAATTTGTACCCTTGGCAAATGGCAGGGCTGGGATTTGATCGAGGTCTGCGTGCTGCCAAATTATTGCTGGAATGGTCCAAGCCCCTTTTATCATCTCTAACCCCAGCCCTGCCTCCTCCTACGAGGCACCACCCTCTTAGATTGTGGGATGGTGTGGCCTCCCACCACCCCTGCCCCTGCAAGCTCTGTTACCGGATGACTGGGGTGTGTGACCCCTGTGCCAACCCTTCTGCCAGGTGCCAGGCCCCACGAGCTGTGATCTGGTTCTTCTCCAGGCTTCCCAGTGGACAGCAGAAGAATGGAAGAGAGAGACATGGGAGTGAGACCACCCAAGGGGGCTTCCCTGTGTCCCTTCCCAGGCCAAGATGGGGTACACACTACCCCAGCACTGCCTTCTCAGAGAACCCAACAGACCACAGCAGGCAGCAGGAAGGCCGAAGGCTAGAGCTCAGGGTGAACCGAGCATGGCAGGGGCTTGGAGCTTGCCCAGTGTGCAACTCAGGGAGTACTCTCTGGAAGCCAAGGGACTGACCCAGTGGCTCCGGGGCTCTCCCCAGGATGTAGGCCCTCTCAGCCCTTCCCATCCCCTCCAGCTCCCCAGGAAGTGCCCCTCATACTCGAGTCTCTTCAGCTGGTGCATCCGTGGCAGGACCTGGGCCAGCTCAGCAGCCGCCTCGTCCCCGAGGAGATTCCAGGACAGCCTGCAGGAGAAGTGGGGGGTTCAAGCCCGGGGTGGAGGACATGGAGGGGTAGAGACAGGGCAGTGGGTGGGAGGGTGGAGGGCCTACAGGAGAAGCATGGCAAGAGGGGCCACCTGATGGGGTGCCCTCTCTCAAGATGTTTCAGGGCATAGGTGGCTCCTCTCCTCACATCACCACCCCTTCCTGAGCTTGTCCCTCTCAAGAACGGCTTGGGTGCTGCTTCTGGAGAGTTCCGGGCTTGGTCTGGAGTTTAGAACACGAGTGCGGAGACAATGTCGTGATCCAACATCCATCGTGTGGGTGCCGCCATTACGATTTTTGCCATGACCATGCACCTTCTTTCTTTTTTCTTTTTCTTTTTTTTTTTAAGAGAGATTTTTGCTATTGGGCATGTGCACTCACTGGGGAGATAGAGACAGAGAGACAGAAAGTGGGAAATCACCCCCAGGAGGGATGGCCACCCTGCAATCCCTTCTCCTCCATTCTCCTCTCGGGATCTTAGGCACGTACACATACATGCCCGGCGTGAGCTTTAAGCCACCAAGTCCGGGACTTGAACCCTGCTCGACTCCATGGGAGTCCAGCGATGTAACCATTACGCCATCTGCTAGTCCCCCCATGCACCTTCTTTATTATTGTGTTTTTATTCTTTAAATTGGCTTTCTGATGTAAAGAAATTAATCTTAAATTCCAGATTAAGATCTTAATGTAATAAATTAATTTGAAAAGGACACATGTATCACCACTACCCATGAGCCACCTGTGTCGAGGGCCCTATTACGGATGACAGTTAACAGGCTAAATACAGCACAAGCAATGGCACTGATGTCCAGCTGGAACCAGCGTCCCTCCTCAGGCGCGGCCTGCCCCAGGTGGTTAAAAGAGGAGACTCACTGGTGTTAGGTGTTAAAGACAAGTCAGCACTAATCTGAGGCTTTCTCTCTGGTCTCTTGAGAAGGGTCAAAACATTTATGAGGGGCCAGCAGGTGGATAGTGTTTAAGGTGCTGGACTCCCACAAGGCTGATTGCAGTTTGAGTCCCAGACTAGGCAGCGTGAAAATCACACCCGGTATGTGTACGTGTGTGCCCAAAATCCTGGGAGGAGAATGAAGAAGGGATTGTGGTGTGGCCAACCTCCTGGAGGGGGGGTGATTTCTCCCTTTCTCCCTCTCTCTTTCTCTGGCAAGCGCACACTCCCTTTAACAAAAGTCTCTGTCTAGGGACCAGCAGATGGCATAATGGTTATATCACTGGACTCCCACGTAGTCGATCACGATTCACTTCCTGGACCTGGCAGCTTAACTCACGCTGGGTGCATGTGCGTGCATTCCCAAATCCCGACAAGATAGTGGAGGAGAAGGGATTGTGGTGTGGCCAACCTCCTGGAGGGGGGGTGATTTCTCACTTTCTGTCTCTCTTTCTCTCTTTGTCTTTCCTGAGAGCATATGCGCTCCATAGCAAAAACCTCTCTTAAAAACAAAATCTCTGTCTTAAAAAAAAAAAAAAAAGCCTTTATGATGCAAGCCTAAAACCCACTTGTAATCCCTTTCATTCTATACAGAAGGAAACTGTCCTCTATGGAAGGAAATAGCCTTTTCTTCCATGCTGTGGTTAGGGCCCAGGGCTAGTCCCGTGAGGCAGTGCCTTGAGGCCCAAGGTCTGAGAAACTCGATGGTCAAGAGGATGCCGTGGTACCACCACAGGGGAGATCGGGGAGTGGGGTGCCCACTGGCTTCAGCTACTTTCAACACCAACAGCGGCTCATGAAGGAGTCCCTGTGAACCAGGCAGGTGGTCTGCCAGCTTCCTCCCAAAGGCAAGGACTGGGGCAGAGCGCCTTTGGAGACCCTCTGGCCCACCTCCCCTGCCACGCCACAGATGGGGGGCTGAATGGCTTTGCCCCGAATCACTGAGGCTCCCGTGTTAAAACTTCCTCCAGAGCAGCTCAAGGGTCTTTCCTGTTTATAGGAGGGAACTGGCCGTGAGGGAGGGATCAGCTCAGGCCACTCAGGCTGCCCCCAGGCACCTGCTCGTCCAGCCCAGGGCTTTGGGATCACTCACAAGATTTCTTCTAGGGCTGGGCAGAGCGCGAGGCTGGCGGCCAGGAGCTTGGCAGTCTGGTTGTCAATCTCACAGGAAGCCAGGCTGGGAGGGAGGAGATGGGGCTGAGGGGCCTGAGGGAGAACCCCTGGCCAGTCCCGCCCCCATAGAGGGCAGGAGGGAGCAGAGGGCTGCAGGGGGTCGGGTTGGGGTTGGGGGTGGTGTCAGGAGCCTCAACCATCCATGAGGCTTTTGTCACTTCAAAGGCCTTCCCAGGTGTCAGGCTCAGCCAGAAAGGGCTGCCTCCTCCCACCCCATGTGGTCCCCAGGCTGCCTCTCCCAACCTCACTGCTGTCCCCACCCCACTGTATGTTCCCAGGCTGCACCCCCGACTGCAGGTCCCCAGGCTGCACCCCTCACCACAGGTTCCCAGGCTCTCCCCACCCCACTCACTGTATATTCCCAGGTGCCCCCCACCAGAGGTCCCCAGGCTGCACCCCCCACCACAGGTCCCCAGGTGGCCCCTGCCACTGCAGGTCCCTAGGCTGCCACCCCAACACAGGTCCCCAGCTGCCCGTCCCCCAATGCAGGTCCCCAGGATGCCCTCCCCCTCCGACTGCAGGTCCCCAGGATGCCCCCCCCCACACACTGCAGGTCCCCAGGCTACTTACTCGATCTGTCTGAGCAGCGGGAGCCCCTTACAGAATTGAGGCACCCCTCCAGCCAGGCTGTTGGCTGCCAAGCTGCAGGGCAGGGGAGACACCTGTGAGGGGAGCTCCCAATCCCTCTCTGGCCTGTCCCCTGCTCAGGCTGGGTGGCCCCCACTCACCTGATCTCTTCCACACATGGGCATCCATCCAGGGCCTGGCCCAGGCTCTGCGCCCCCTCTGGGCCCAGACGACTGGACTGCAGGCTGGGGAAAGGGGGAGGGGAGAGTGGAGACTGGGGACCAGCTGTGTGGGCCCCAGAAAGACCCCCCACCACCACCACCCTCAGCCTTGTCTCTGGCTGCAGCACCAGACCTTAGACGTCTCTGGGCAGTGGCTGTCCCCAACTCCTCCCCCCCACACAAGACCTGGGTGGATGCCATGGGCCTGGCATTGGGGTCTGAGATCCCAAGTTCAAAGCCTGGCTTCTTAGCGTGTTTGTAACCTGTCCTGGCCTTCGTCCCCTCACTGGACTGTGGAGCACTAAAAATCCCCCGCCCTGTGGGACGGCTGCGAGGCTCACAGGAGGCCGTGTACTGGGGAGTGCTGGGGACATGCTGTTTGGCACGTCTCCCACACAGCCCTTTGCTGACATTTCCTCCATCACCCTGGGGACCAGATCAGGGAACTGAGGCTCAGAATGGGGATGGGCCTGGCCAAAGGCCTGCAAGGGCTGGCGGGCGAAGCCAGGACCAGGCTGGGTCTCCAGGCTCCAGAAGCCAGATCCAGACAGGAAGGAGCAGCCAGCCCCAGGCATGCCACAGGCAAGGCTGCTCTCTGGATGGGGGCCTTGACCCCTACTCCTCGAGGGGGTGCTCCTCCCACCAGCCTCGCCAGCTTCGCGGCAGGGGACACTCACTGCAGGACCCTCAGGTGCTGGGGCAGACCCCGAGCCAGCCCCAGGGCTGTGGGATCACCCAGGGCATTGCAGGCGAGGCTGAAAGAGGAGAGAAATCAGCGCTGAGCATGGCTGACATTCAGGACCCCCGGCCTGCACCATGCCTACCATGGACGAGGAGGGCCGGGTGGGCCTGCGGGGCACAGAGGGCAGAGGCCCGACTGGGCAGACACTCACATCAGCTCCTCCAGGTGCCTGCAAAGAGTGAGGGACTCGGCCAGCAGCACTCCTCCAGCTGGGCTGATGCCATTTGCTGAGAGGCTGCAGGAGGGAGGGGCCACCATTAGATCCTCTGGTGCCCCCTCCACCTCCCCGACATCTGCCCTGTCCCTAAGAGATGACTCCCCACTGCCACCTTCCCGACCTGATGGGGCAGAAGGCATTAAGAAGAGAAGGAGCTGGGGTGACTGGAGGATGCCCCCTAGCAGGGCATGGAGGTCACCCAGTCCCACTGCCAGGACACTGAGGTGGGGGCAGGCTGAGCACTAGGGGCCAGTGTCTCCCAGGACCACGGGGACCCCTCTCGGCAGAGCCGGCCACTCACTCTAGTTTCCGGAGCTCAGGCAGCCCCGGCAGGATGGCAGCCAAGTGTTGGGCACCGGCATCTCCGATCTGGTTGTGACTCAAGCTGGGGAGAGAAGAGCAGGAGAACCGGCACCATCAGCCTGCCCCACCCCCGCCCCATCTCATCTGGTCCACACCCTCCTCCCAGAGCAGAGAGGAGGCCGAAGTCAAGGGAGGAGCCGCAGCTCACCCGGGAGTGGAGAGACTCCCGTCAACTTGGGGTCTGTCTAGGACGCTCTCCCTGCTACCCCACCTAAGCCCCTCTTGCTGCAATCGGTATGCTTATACCCCATCTTTGGGTCTCCTGGGGTTCTGGGCCTCAGTTGTACAACATGGAACGGGGTGAAGCAAAGTGTGTAATCAAGAAGTCCCTTCCTTTTGTCATCTTTCCTTGTCAACGTTGTCCTGGGTCTGGGGGAAGGACAGGCAGCTCACCTCAGCTCCTCCAAGCTGGTGGCAGCTCTGAGAGCCTCTGAAAGGTGACAGCAACTCACATCATCAATTCTGCTCTCACTCAGTCTGGACGAGCGGGGAAGACCACGGAGCATTTGAAACTGAAACGTCTTTGCAGGTGCTGTGCTAAAACTCTCCAGTTTGCAAAGCCTTTACGCATCTAGAACTCACATGCCCGCCATAAAACCTCTGGGGGTAAAGGTGAGTGAGCGAGGTGGGAATGACTGTCCCAGTGTCCAGTAAGAAAACCAGGGCCCAGCAGTGAGCTGTGACTGGCCAGACTCACAGTGACACGCAACAAGGTGGGAAGAAACCCAGAACCCCTGGCCTGGGAGCAGTCCCTGCATTTTTGTGGCTTGCTTTGGCCTATGCGTCAGGGGTCTCCAGGCCAGCCCGGGGGAATGCCCACTGCACGTGGGTTTCCCAATTCAGGCGAGTCGATTCTGCAAGGCATATGGTGGCATTCTCATCTATGCACGCGACAGGCTTTGCTTTAAACTCTGCTGGTTGCCTTTTCTGTACCCTGACCTGGCCCTGCCTCTATGAATGGGGAGAAACAAAACGAGTCAGCAAACTGTCTTAGCCCCTTCTAAGTATTTATCTGAGAATTATTTGGTTTTACAAATTCAAGTTTAGAGAGCTGTCTTTTAGTATATTAATTTTGGGTGAAATGACTTGGTTCTTGTCACATACACACACACACACACACACACACACATATTATGATATAACCTCCAAAATTGTTTTTCCTTATTTTTTCTTAGATAAGTTAAAAAATATTTATTTAATTCGAGACCAGCAGATGGACCACAGATGAAATACTCTGTTCAGTTTTCTGTCTAGAGACTGTTTAAACAGGAATCTGTGCAGGATGGGGACGTGTCTTTTAGACTAGAGTTGTTTTTAGTGTTTCAAAGAATTTGGTGTCTCTAAAGTATGGAAGAAAGTAGAAGTTGCCAGTTACTAAGGAAATAACTGTAGACACATGGCCTTGGACATCTGTGGGTTTCTTCTGTCTGGAGTTTGTTCTCCTAATAATAACATCCTGGCGACCAGCTGATGGCGTGGTGGTTATATCGCTGGACTCCCAAGTAGTCGACTGTGGTTTTAGTCCTGGACTCGGTGGCTTAAAACTCAAGCCAGGGGGAACCAGCAGTTAGCGTAATGGCTATGTCGCTGGATTCCCACGTAATCGACCGCGGTTTGCGTCCCGGACCCGGTGCCTTAGAACTCGCGCCGGGCGCGTGTGCGTGCGTGCCCAAGATCCCGAGAGGAGGATGGAGGAGAAGGGATTGTGGCGTGACCATCCCCCCTGGGGGGTGATTTCTTGCTTTCTGTCTCTCTGTCTCTCTGTCTCTCTCTGTCTGTCTGTCGAGCGCACGCGCCCTATAGCGAAAACCTCTCTCAAAAAAAAATTATTTAATTTTTATTTATTCATTCATTTATATGGCATTCATTCATTTAATAACAGCTTACCTCCCAAATTTTCTAACCTCTACCTACTCAGATGACACGGCCAGAGACAGGGTGGAGACTTGGATAAAAACAAAGCCATGCTTTGTGTCATTGCATGGCTCTGTTTGTAGTCACAATATTTTATATTTTGAAAACTCACAGGATGAGAGAGTCTCATATTTGTTTATCGCAGTGGGCAGGGAGTGAAATCACAGGGGAGACTGACAAGGCCACCGATCTGAATCTAGACCCACATTACACCAAGTGCAGCCTGTAGCCCTGGAACTGATATTCCCTGGAAGCTAGTTAGAAATGCAGAATCTGGGGCCAGCAGGTGACGTGGTGGTTAAAGGCGCTGGTTGACCACAGTTCGAGTCCCGGACCTGGTGGCTTGCTTTCTCGCTTTCCCTGTCTCTATCTGTCAAATTGAAAAATAATAATAACAAATGGAATGAAATAAATAATTCTTATTTTAAAAAAAATGCAGAATCTGGAACCAGCAGGTGGTGTAATGGTGACGTCGCTAACTCCCATGTAGTTGACCATGATTTGAGTCCTGGACCCAGTGGCTAAAAAGTCACGCCAGGTGCGTGTGCGTGCGTGCCCAAGATCCTGAGAGGAGATTGGAGGAGAAGGGATTGTGGCATGGCCATTCCCCCTGGGAGGTGATTTCTTGCTTTCTCTTTCTCTGTCTCTGTCTTTCCAGTGAGCACAAGAGCCCTATAGCAAAAATCTCTCAAAAAAGGAAAAAAAAAAATACAGAATCTAGGCAATCCTGACCTTGGATTCAGAACTAGCATTTTTTTTTAATTGCCAAAGGACATAAGTATTCATCAGAGAGAGAGAGAGAACCCCCCCACACACACACACAGGGGCATGCAGCCCTTGTCCCCCCACTTCTCCATCATGTTGGGATTTGGGGCCACACATGCATGCCACCTGGTGTATTTTTCAAGCCACGGAGAGCTGCAATTCAAACTAGGATCAGCCAGGTGAGATCCAACATTCTGTGCTCAGCACTTAACCCCATGCTTTGAGGCCACCCCAGAGTTAGCATTTTAACAAGAACACAGGTGAATTGTGTGTACAGGAAGGGTTGTTCTGGGACTTGGGCCTATGCTCTTCAGGTCACTTTGTGGCCAGGAGGAAGGCAGTGGCATTAGGAGGCAAGAGCATCAGGCTGCACAACCTGGGAGGATACAGGATGGCGTGGGAGAGAGCCAAGAGGGTCCCACAGAGGCACCCTCTGTGCTTTCCTGGGAGTGTCCCAATACGCCTGAGGAGTGTGTGCTCCTACTCAGTCCACGGCGTCATGCATCACTCACCGGAGGCGCTGCAGGAGAGTCATGTGGCTTAGTTCGTCAGTGAGCGTGGCCAGTGTAGACTCACCCAGTGGAAGGTGACTGAGGCTGCAGGAGACAGAGCCAGGTGAGCTTGGTGTTGCTGGCATGGGGTCCCAGTACAGACCAAGGGCCCTGCCCAGTCCAGGGATTGAGGCCTGTGCTAGACATGTGCTTGGCAGTTCCAGGGACTTCCAAGATGGCCACTTCCACCCATGCAATGTACAAAGTCGTGCAGAAGGAAGTGCACTGCGAGACCCAAACCCCATTTCTCTGCGTGAACTACTGAGGTCATGCAGGGAGTGCTTCTATTTTCTGAATCAGGCTGGACCCAAACTAATGACCAGTAATGAAGCGATCACATATCAAGCTTCTATTGGGTTGTCGGGAAAGGCAGAATGATTTTTCTTATGCAAAAATGTGTCAAGACTTTTCCAACAACTCAATAGAATGGGCCAAACACTGGACTCAGAGCCATCTTGAAAGTGGGTTCATTATCACCCCCATTTCTCAGATGAGGAATACCGAGGCTCTGAGAGTTAGCGAACTTGTTCAAGGTCACACACAGAAAGTGGCAACAGCAGAGCATCAGGCTGCACAACCTGGGAGGATACAGGATGGCGTGGGAGAGAGCCAAGAGGGTCCCACAGAGGCACCCTCTGTGCTTTCCTGGGAGTGTCCCAATACGCCTGAGGAGTGTGTGCTCCTACTCAGTCCACGGCGTCATGCATCACTCACCGGAGGCGCTGCAGGAGAGTCATGTGGCTTAGTTCGTCAGTGAGCGTGGCCAGTGTAGACTCACCCAGTGGAAGGTGACTGAGGCTGCAGGAGACAGAGCCAGGTGAGCTTGGTGTTGCTGGCATGGGGTCCCAGTACAGACCAAGGGCCCTGCCCAGTCCAGGGATTGAGGCCTGTGCTAGACATGTGCTTGGCAGTTCCAGGGACTTCCAAGATGGCCACTTCCACCCATGCAATGTACAAAGTCGTGCAGAAGGAAGTGCACTGCGAGACCCAAACCCCATTTCTCTGCGTGAACTACTGAGGTCATGCAGGGAGTGCTTCTATTTTCTGAATCAGGCTGGACCCAAACTAATGACCAGTAATGAAGCGATCACATATCAAGCTTCTATTGGGTTGTCGGGAAAGGCAGAATGATTTTTCTTATGCAAAAATGTGTCAAGACTTTTCCAACAACTCAATAGAATGGGCCAAACACTGGACTCAGAGCCATCTTGAAAGTGGGTTCATTATCACCCCCATTTCTCAGATGAGGAATACCGAGGCTCTGAGAGTTAGCGAACTTGTTCAAGGTCACACACAGAAAGTGGCAACAGCAG